GACTGGCAGCTTCTGCAAGGCTTCCTTCGTAAACGAGCTACTGAGCATGACCTCGGCTCTTGCATCCCAATGCAAAGCCGTTGAATTCACGAGCTGGCCTCTCTCTCACTTTTGATCGGACAAGTGCAGTTGTGCTTTCTACGCTGAGGCGACTCAAAAGCACCTTCTAGCTTGGCTCCGATAAAATATGATCTTGCCATTCTGCTGCTCCTTCTAACTTGACAATCCTTCCACTGAGCTGAGTCAAGTCTTCATGGATACACTGGAACCACACCCAACTTCACGAGTGTCCAGCATTTTGAAGCTGGCAGCCCTTCAGGATGGGCTCCCGCAGCCTCACGCAATTTAGGATGCATCCGTCGAAGCGGATCGGACTGATTATGCCCAGTGCCTAGTGCTTGTCCGCCCAGTCGAGGACTTGTACAGGATAGTTTCGTCGGTCTCCGCAATAATGGCCTTCTCAAACTCAGTAAACAAAATGTGCGCAACACGTGCAAACAGCACGCTCATACTGCACACTGTGTGCGTGCGTATGACTCTCTGTCTGTTTGAACATGTTTCTTCACTCTGCGTGTCTCCATTAATATCTTTGTGTCTTTGTGTCTGGGGTCTTAGAGTTCTTTCTTCTTTGCACCTGTGTCTCAATGTCTCTGCCTGTTCTGTGCGTGTGTGTGTGTGTGTGCGTGTGTCAGAGTCTGCACTACTGTCTGTATCGGCATCTGAGCTACTGTGTGTGTGTGTGTTGATATTTGTAACTCTCTCTCTCTCTCTCTCACTCTCTCTCTCTGAGTCTGGCTTGCTGATGTTTGCTCCTGTGCCCGTGCGTCTGTGTACGCACAGTTGAATGCGTGCCCATGTCTGCATCAATAACTGCGCCTGCTGTGTGCATCTGTTTTCCTACTTCCGGCCTAGAATTGCGCCTCTCCCCATCTTTGCCACAAGTCTAGGGGTTGATTCCTTGTCCATTCTTTTCAACCCTCGTTCTTTCCAAACACCGGAGCCGTTTTCCCTGGGTTTCCGGAGCTTTTCTAGAACGGATCCCTGGAAAGAATGGAGAAGGTACCCCTAGAAGGCAAGATCCTGGCCTCCAGGACGAACTCCAAGACATTCTCGGCAAAGAGGTTTGTCACTTGTGAGATGCTGGCGGCAAGGCCTCACACGTCGCTGGCAGTGTCCACATCGTGCTTAGCCTCTGATCAAGGGCAGCACCATGCCAGGACAGCACATCCATGGTCAACGCCTTGGGGATCGGTCGAAACATATTCTGAATCAGATGGGTAACATCTAAACAAAAACAAAAACGTGTTTTGAGCTGCTTGCCACTTGACCCAAAGCATCCTGCTGCCATCCGGGTCCATGTCCCACAGTTTTCCTGGCGCTAAACTCTCCAATGTGCTCACAATACCTGGGACCCTCATACGAGGAGCGTGCCCGCGTGCCAAGGCGAGCGTGGCACGGGACGCCGACCTGATGACTGCCTGCAACTTCGAGACATGAGCAATGCTTGGCACTCATTGGGGGGGGGTCAAGCAAATCTTCCATCTAATGGATCCCATAGTAGGACATCTCACAAATAATGAAAAAGGTGGCAATCCTGGTATGGTAAGCGGAGGCATGGGTTTATCACGTCAAACCCATGGGGCAACCAGTCACGGTGCCATCGATGGGTTCCTTGGGTCCTTCACCTTTCGTCCAGCGAGCCTGCAGCCAGCTGGCAGGACCCAGCCTCTCACAACGCGTTTGTGACACGAAGTTCGGAGAGCCCAAAGCTTCAGGCCGGGGCTCGCCGCAGGCTTCCACCCACTCTGGCCAGTCCATCTCCTGCAGTCGATGCTTAAACGGCAATGGACATCTCCTGGAGCGCAATGAAAACCCGCAAATGGCAGCTGTTTAAGGCGCGCGCCGGCTCACAGGTTGCGAGCACCGCATTGCAGGAAGCAATGCCCGTGTGTGTCTCCTCGCCAAGAACAAAAAAGGCAGCCGAAGTTCGGAGTGCAGAAGGAGCTCCTGCCAGAAATCCAACGCCCTGGCAGAGTCGCCGTACTGGAGGCATTTCAGAAGGACGAGGTTGTAGAGCTGGCGACACATGGCGACGCTCGCAGCCTTTGAAATGCTGAGCCTTTGAAATGGAGCATGCAGAACCCCCAAGGCACAGGAGAGGAGAGGATTCTCCTGCTCTGAACGCCAGCCTTTCGCGAATGTTGTGGCCGCTTTGGGCCAGCGATGGATGGTGGCTCTTGCACCATCACTTGAAGGCCTAAGGTTCTTCCTCAGGCGTGGAGAATCCGGTAGTTTGGCCTGTCCAGCCCAACTAGCCTCCGTCATCAACCCCAAGTATCCATCCATCGTCACACAGAAAACATGTCCGGCCTCTGAGCCGCCTGCCGCCCACGTCCGTCACGTCCGTCACGTCCGCGTCCGGGCCGGGGCGGCCGAGGCCTTGCCTCACCTCGGGCCTCCAGATTCCAAGGCCGCCGTTCGTAGGTCTGGCGGCAAACCGGACCTCAAGGCCAGCGCCAATGCTTGGCCCAAGCTGCGGTGACATTCTTGGGAGCCCTGCAAAGGTGAACCTGGTCAACGGCAAGCTCTTTGTCCGAATGAGAAGTTTACCAACCTCAAACACATGAAAGGACTCGAAGGACACCAAGCAGGTGCGATGGAATACCTCAGGCACGTGGTATCAGGATCCAAGCATCAAGAAATCGACACGAGGGCCAGGCATGTGAGCAGGACAAAAGCTCCACCCGATTACCTTGACCTCAAAACAAGCGTCCAGCCTCCAGCAACCGTGGTCGCCGGTTGCCAACTCTGAGGTTGCCGCTGGATAAGTCGCAGAGCTGAAAGCAAATGGGGCAGTCCACCTGCAAGATCGCAAGAGGAGCTGCAAAAGGTTTCAGGTTCCCTAAACGGCCTCGCCACGACCTTGGCCGGAGAGTGGTTCTGACTCGCAAAATGCTGGCAAGAGGTTTTGTTGCTGAGTGCCTTGCTCAGCACAGCCCTTCTGGCGGCCGCCCACTCGGAGGGCTCCCCTCACAGCAACGCAGGGCACAACGAGAGTAGGGAGAGGAGGAGAGGAGACAAGGGGAGGCGAGGAAAGGGCACGGGTGGGGAGAAGGAGGAGAGGATCGGGACAGGGGCTGGAAGTGAGCCATTGCACACTAGCAGATTCATAGTGCGTCCCTCTCGACGAGCCAATCGCAGGACTTGGAGGTGCTTGCAAAGCTTTCCCCCGCCTTCAGCCTTGCTGGGCAGGCTCTGGCTCTTCGGATGGCTACTTTGGCCCTCCTTCAGAATCGAAGGTCTCAACGACAAGCAAAACAGCACGCGCTCCTGGGAGGAAGCTGAAGCTGCGTGAACACCTACCATCTCTCTGAGCCCACGCTGTGCCTCTTTTGTCTGAGCTACCGCCTGCAGAGCTCATCGGTGTGGCATGCAGACGCTCGAAGCTGCAAAGGCCCTCTCCTGAGGGGAGGCCACAAGTGAACTTCCATTGAAGTGGGGGTTGATCAAAAGCTCCATAAAACATGGGATGACCATTGGGTTGTTGCCACTATAAAAAGATGATAACATTCCCACTATCAAAAAAATGGTAACATTCCCACAGGGAAAAAAATACCCATGGTCCAAGCCGTCCCTAAATGGAACTACGTTTGTTTGTCCCCTTTTTTTTTGGCGGGGGGGGAACCCTTCAACAGTGGTTGGACATAAACCCCAACCTCAATGATGTCCACCAATGGGTCCCTAATTCAAATTCACGGCCATACTGGCACATTGGATTCGAAAGAACCACCCTGAGAAAGAAAAAAAGGAACACACAAGTCCAGAACTGTGGGTTACCATAATCCATGTTTAAGTTGGCAGTTTCAAGGCGCAGCTACTTTCAAGGTCCAGTCACCGACTCCGACTCCGACTCCGACTCTTGGGCCGCGCGCGCAGCGCCGCGGAGCTCTCCGCCACGCTGCCATCCAACTCCTCCGTGCTGAGAGCAGAGCCATGGAGGGCCACCCCCAAATAAAGAGCAGGGCAAACCCATCGTCGTGTCCTGGAGGAACCTCTCCAGAGAGTCTTCATGCTCCTGCACGTCTTGGCCGCAACTTGGGCCCCGAATTGACCGCTCCGAATGCCTCGCACGCCTTCTCCAGCTTGCCGCCAAGCGCCTGAACATGGTCATGGGTCAAAACCCCGTACCCCCAGTGAACATCCCGATCTCCACTAGAATAGACTAAAATGGGTGGTGCACCCATGCCACATCAAGTTGCAGCCTGCTGTCACCGCCGAGCCGTGCCTGAAGCGCTTTTCCACAGAAACGGCGATGCCTCACTCACGTCATGGCATGCCTGATATGCTCCAACCAAAGTGGACTGATCTCGACTGGGAATTAAAGTCTGCTGGGCGCACATGCAAGGAGCTCCTAGGCGAACATCGGGTTGTCGTAGTTGCGAATAAAGCCTTGCATCTAAATGCAGCAAACTCTGAGCGCGCATTCACAGTTGGCACATTTGCTCGATGCCCTGCTTCGAGTCCGGGCCCAAGGCTCGTCGCGGCTCTTATAGCCCCGCCAGGCCTTTTGAATGCGCCCAGCGCACTTCTTGCGCCAAACCTCACAGGTTTTGAAGGCCAAATCGAAGAGGCCACGGTGAGACCCTGAGATCCGGGCCATAAGTCCGGTATGGTGTATGGTAGCATCAAAGTAAGGGCATCGACCTCTCATTACGCATGTGCTCCTTTCATGACAAGCTGAGATGAGCCCACGGGCACAGCGGGCAGTGCCGCTTGCCGGCGAATCTCTCAAAGCTGCCCAAACACCTAGACATGCCACACCACAGTCTGCCCGTACCCGCATCGCCACGCAACAATAAGCTCCAAGCTCGCCATGGAAGACATGACTACAGCCTGGAGCGGACTAGGCATAGAACGACGTGCTGGTTGCAAAAGCAAGGCCCCAGCTCAGAATGACTTGGGGTCGTGTCCGGAAATCGTCAAGACCTGGATCACTGCCATCATGGCAAGTCTTGAGATGTCTTGGGCACACTGCAAATGCTGCATGGCACTGTGCTGTCTTCCCGCTGGTCGGAGGCTTGCTTCACCTGCTCCCATTGCCTTAGCGCACTGCGAGGCCACAAAGCCAACGACGCCTCGGGCTGCGGCTCGCTGGTCAGGGGCTGTGCTGGCGGAGCCACCAGGCCCATGCGCTGGGCGAGGGTCAGAGATGCCTTGCACGGTTCAGAGATGCCTTGCACGGTTCCGAATTCGGATGGCGACAAAAAGCAAACGCCAACACGCCTCGTGACGTCGAACCTTCTCGTCATAAGAGATCTCTGCATGCCCTGGGCAACAGGAAGGCGAAACGCTTCCATCCATAAAACGTTGATGTCTGCACATTCTAGTCCCACTCCCCGAGCAAGTGGGTGAAACTTGGGCCAGCGGTTGCAAACAAAAGCAAGCGTCCGCGCAAGGGCGTAGCCGGCTGATTTTTAGGGGCCGATTCACAACAGTCAATGTGCTCCAACCGCCCTGCGTCCTCTGGGGAGCAATGCGCAACAGACACGGCAGGGTGCAAGCAGAGCGCATAAGATATGAGAACGGAGAGCTGAATGGAGCAAAGAGCGAAGGGTGCGATGGAAATAACAGAAGTGGGAAGAAGAGCGGAGCAAAGAGAAAAGCGCAGCGACGAGCACTAAAAAGGCTTAGCGGAGCGAAGACTGGGGAGATGTGCGGAGAGAAGAGCGAAGAGGGGGTCATGCTGCACGCTTGATTGTTCTCGAGAGCCTGGCTGAACGCGCTTGGAGCACTCCTGGCACAATGGTTGGTTGAACTGCTGAAGTCATTGGTCCTCTGTCAAAGGAAAGCCGAGGGTGCCAAAAAGCCAATGCAAACGCACCGGACAAAGCTCCTGGTTGAGTCACTGCGCGCAGTCGGTGATGGGTCTGGCCGGTCCTGCACGTACTCAACACTCCAAGCACTACAGCAGCATGGTTTTCTGGCCAAGACCTGACGCGCCGACGCGCTGCGGGTGCGGTTCGGTCGAGGAGGCTTGCCCAGCAAGTGCGCCTGCTTCCACTGGATGACATAACCCTTCGATTCGACATATGCTGAAATGAAAGGCAAAAAAGCCGAATAGCAGTTGGAACAGAGTGATCCGCACTGTCATGTGATTCAAAGGGCAAGCCGCATGGCCTGCAAAGCCACTGCTCGCCACACCTCCCCGCGCGTGCCGTCTGTGACCACACCTGTCACGCAGAAGCAGGAGCTACGGAAAAGCTGCTAGAATAACGTTTGTGTGTGTGTGGAAGTGAAGGGCACGCCTGCGGCTTTCAACGGAGAAGCACTGCGCTGGCGCATTCAAACGGCCCTTCCTGGAACCTGAATTCTTTGTGCACATGGGCAGGCAATACTGCAAAGCTTGCACGTATCCCGCCTTCACAGCACATGACTCTCACGGATACGACATGACAACGCGGCACGGCTGGCAGCGCAATCTGCCAACGCCATTGTCACCATACGTGTATATATATATATATATACACATACGCATATATATGTATATATGTATATGCATACATTTGCGTGTATATATATATATGTGCATGTATGTATGTATATTATGTGTATATACATATATATATATATATATATATATATATATCGCTCAATCTTGAAGTGCTGACGCACGCCTTGTCCTTTGGAAAACTGTGTTGCGTATTCAGCATGTTTCGGCAAGTTGTTGAGTGTGAGATCATTCAATATGAGAGTGGTGTGGCTGTGAGGTATGGCATAAACCCCTGAGCCAAAGCTTTTCGAGTATGGGCGGTTGTAACTCAACCAACAAGCACAGCTTCTGTGAGTAGAAGAAAGGCAAAGCCTAGACGACTCGCAAAAAGCAAAGATCCATGTTTGTGTCAATGCACCCATCAAGCGTCAAGAGCTCTCCTGCCTGGCGGTTGTCAAAATTCTCGGCATTGGGATACCTGGCTTCAATTCAAGTGATTTGAAGTGTGCAGGGAGAAGGTGAGGCTAATTGCATGTCTTGCCTCACCGTGACTTCTGCCAGAAAATATTCCACCCATTTCCACTCCCGTACCTTTGCGCAACGTATCAAGTGAGAGATCTCTCAGGACTCATGGCCCCATCGGCCGCTCGGCATCCTCTCGGGCGCTCAAATGATCTGAGACCAATACCTCCGCCGCAAGCGAGACGAGGTACACATAGGTCGTGAAGTAGGGCTGCACGCCCAGCCGCTCCATCTCCTGCTTCCATCTCACCGCGAAGGCCTTAAACAAACCAGCTGGCCGTTGCCCGTGACACCGGGAGGCCCCAAGGCTGCGGCGAAATTCTGGGATGGCATGCAAGCCTTGACCCTCAGCGGAAAAAAAAAGACGTGCACGCCAACTGCGGAGCGTGGATCCGGCCCGGAGGTGAAGGTGATGTGGTTCGGCCTTCGACATCCAGGGCTCAGGTTTGACCGGAAGCCACCTGGTGGGGATAGTGAAACCAGACTCAGCTGTCGGCTGGGAGTCCTTCCTCTGCATCTCCGAAAGCAGCCTTTGATGCTGGGCTTGACATGGAGCTATAGCTCGAAGCCAAGGGCATTGCTGCAATGCCATGGGCCAATGCCCGCCATTCAGGTAGGCACTAATCAAAGCCTGAGCCATCAAACAAATGTCGATTGCAGTGCTTGAAACTTGCTAGGGCAGGGACGGTATATGTGACAACCTCAGGCTCCAAGCTTGCCTGGGCACATGAATTCACATCAGTTGCGGTCAGTTCAGAGTTCAGAGAGTGCGCAAAGCCTGGAACAAACGTGCCGGGCTATCCTCCGCCATTTCCGGGACAAGCGCCACAGCCTTGCTTGCAAGCCGCTGGAAATATCTTGACTGTACCAAGCCTAAAACATGTGTGTGTGTGTGGGTGTGTGGGTGTGTGTGTGTGTGTCTGTCTCAGCGTGAGGAGTCCTTCAAACAGTTTTCCTTGTGGCTAGCCATCCAAGGCAGCTAGCACAGTTTGAGGCATGGGTCACATGGTATGCCCGTGCTTTTGCACATCTATGGCACTGACTTGTTCCCACTGTGTCGCCTCCGCGCCTGGACCCACTCCGCGTGGAGCTCACGTGTTGCAGTCGCTATCACAGTCACTCTCCCTAAGCCCGGTTCAGGCTGCCATTGCAGAGCTGTAGTGGTACGTCACTGGACCTGGCAAACTTCAGCCTGGACCACAATCCACCTGCAAATGCGGCCTAATGCAGCGGCTGCCGCTAGCAGCTGAAGCGCGTTTTCCCAACCTGCACCCAAGCATGTGGATCATTGCCAATAGCCTTTTGCCTAGGGCCAAGACTGCTACCACTTGCACACGCGGAGATTGCGTGCGTGTACAATGCGCTGTCTGGCCTTGGTGTGGTACTACGCAACAGTATAGAGTGGCTCTGCGTGTGTGCGTGGCAGTCCATTGTTCTTGGCTTTATGAAAACCAACACCTCCTCAGTTAGCCGGCTGGGCAATTTCGATTGGTCACCCAGCAAACATGCCACAATTGAAATTGCAAATAGGCAATATGCAAGGAGCCACCAACGATAGAGCAAAATCAACGATGTCGACTTGTGTAATAAATGGCCCCGAATTAATAAATTTTCTGGGCCAGCCAGACCCGTGTTCACCTACTACATGAAGCAGGGGCCAATTCCACAGGAGCCACATTGATAAAACATCCCCAAAAACTGCCCCGGGACCAAAATTTCAGGAATCAAGATCCGGAATCAAACAAGTCAGGTATCAAATCCCCAAGAAAACAATGCATTCATTACACTTTGGGAACTTAAGCTCTAACCCTGGAACGTTCAGAGCCAAAGCTTCAGACCCCAGATTAAAGAAACAAACAACTTGCCCGAGAAAGATGTCTCGTCAAAGTCCTTTCAAACAGTGATGCCCCAACAGTCCAACATGAGGTCCCCACACAAAGCCCCCAAACCCACACTAGCAAAGGGTTCGCATCAACAAACACCCCAGAGCCCCCAAGAACAAATGCATTCATTACAAATACTACAACCAGTACTGCAAGCACTTGTAGCACTACAAGCAGTACTACAAGTACTACAAATACTACAAGTAGTACTGCAAGTAGTACTACAAGCAGTACTACATACTACAGGTAGTAGTACAAGTACTACAAGCAAGACTGCAACCCCCAGCTTTTTGTGAACTATTCAGAACTTTGCCCCGGAAAAAAAGAGGGGGAAAAAAACGATAAAAAAGTTGGGAGGGGAGGGGGGGGCCTTACATATATTGAAGGGTTGTGTTTTTGGGCATGCGGTTGCCCCTCGGTTGCCCGAACCGAACCTCGTGTTCCATGGTGGATGTCAGAAACTAGCCAAGCATTTCCTCGAGCTGACATGCACTGTAAAAGCCAGCCTGGCTTGAATGATCGCAGTCCAATGGAATTCTACAAAGCTTTGCAAAGCGCGTGTGTGTGTGTGTATACATTTATATACATATACATAATGTATATGTGTATGTGTATGTATGTGTACGTATGTGTATGTGTGTGTATGTGTGTGTGTATGTGCGTGTATGTATGTGCGTGTATGTGTGGGTGTGTGTTAGTTCATCCATCGAACAACTATCTCACCAACGGACACAGGCGATCACCCCAAAATGACTAGGACTAGCACACCGGACCAACCGGAAAAATGGGAATATCAAGTGACCCCCTGACAGTGTAAGTCTTGAGTCGCATTACTCGCAGCCTCGGTCCGTCTGTGTTGTGTCTGACCAAGCAAAACCTGCACAGAAAGCTGCTAAGGTCACTGCTGGAGCTGATCAGCATGCCTTGGTAAAAGCAACTATGGGTGTGGGTCAGAATTAAATCACCAGGGGACTGCTGGTTTTAGTGCCTGTTTGCATTTTTCAGAGCAACCCATTTTGGGTGCCTCTTTTTGACCCACACCCATATGTCCCCCACTCCCCCCGCGCCCGGGCCAAACACCATTGGCCAAGGCCCCAGCGCTTCGTTGAGCAGCTCGAGAGCTCTTTGCCAGGACCCGGCCTCCGATTCGGACCCCATCCTAATTAGCAGCCGGAGCCTGACATTCGGGGGCCGAAGTCTTTAAAAGGAGAATGGTCCAAACCAGGACCCCCCGAACGTCAGGCTCCAGCTGTTAATTAGAGGTATACTAAGGGTAAACCTTCCGCACTTGCGCCTCCTTGGCCGCGGCCATGGCATGGCTGTACGTGATCACGTCAGGGGCAAGCTGTAAGTAGCGAACATCCTGTGGACATGTCATCGCTCGCAAAAAGAAAAACGGTTGAAGCCAAACAAACTGGGGCTGGCTCTTCAAAGACTCTCTCCACCAGCTGAGAGTCTTGTTTCCTGGGCAAGCACCGTCAAGTGCTGGGTGTTTGAGAAACTGTCACTGCACAAAGCGATCAGAGCAGTCTGAGATCAGTACTGCAAGCGTCCCCAGTAGTGTGCACTTTGACCTTAGAGCAAAAAACCCTGCCTACAGGTGAGTAGCATGACTTGGGAAAGTCAAGTGCTGGGCAAGCACCCATAACCGCGTTGAGAGCTCCGATGTCGATCTCAATCCCATCTGCCTTCATTTCTTGCAAGCACCACCTCAGACCATCGCAATAGTCTAGCAACACTCTTGCAACACTCTCCATCTGCAACATTCAGAGGCTACCACAAGGACCACGACCAAAGATACTGATCCACATGGCACCTGCCAGCGAAGCTCGAACGTCCAGTCAACATTCCAAACCTGCACCCCAGTTTGCCAATAAGGCTTCTGCGCGGACAACGCGGCAGTGTAGGAGAACTTGTTCTGCCTGACCAGAACAGGACTGGGATACCAAAGCATCATGCTCCTAAGGCGAGCCTGATGCCCTTGCGCTTCAGACTCTCAAAGAGCTGGATGCTGGCTTCCTGAACTCCGAACTCTCGCTCCAGAGCTCACGCCCCTAGGGGCCAGGCTGGGTTACCTCGCGAGCAGGCCCTCACAGTGGAGGCCGAAATCACCTGCGAGCCAGGCTGCTGCTGCTGCGAAGCACCCCGCGATGGCCGCTCCTCGTTGGGCTGGAGCTTGCCTTCTTGCATCTCATCCAACAGCTGCACGGCCACTCGCCAGTTGCCCTGACAGGGCAACTTGGAAAGAAACCCAACCCGCGAAGGGCACACGCCAGAGCCCAAGATTCGTAAAATTGGTGTGTCGGGTATTGATCCGGGGTTGATAAAGCATCTGCACATCCCACCAACCTCGCACGCGCGGATGGCGGCGCCGTAAGTGAACATGTCAGGACCCTGCTGCACATGCCTGGGTGGCAAGCAAGGCTCTAAGCAAAGTGCCGGTGTTCCCACTGAGGAAGCAGGCTTGCTCACGTCAAGCAGCTGAATGGCCTATCAAACACCCCACAGCTCTTGCACAGCTCAAATCAAGTCCACCTTGATCCATTTGCTGCTCTTGGCGCAGGCAGAGATCGCAGAGTTCATCGTAACCTAGCAGATTGCATGTTGCGCCGAACTTGCTGCACAAGAGCCCGGCAATGTCAGGCCGAGTCAACCGGCCCATGGAGCCGAGCACATGTAGCGCCTGCACATAAAGGGAAGTGGTGTGCGGCCCCCAAGCACCCAGAAATATTGACAAGTGGCATGGGGCAAAATTCAACCACCAGGGGAACGCTGGTTTAATGCCTAATTATTTGCATTTTCCAGGGCAACCCATTTTGGGGTTCCCCTATTTTTGACCCACAGCCAAGTGCCTCCTCCCAGAGGCCGCTGCATGCAAGTGCGCCAATGGCAGTATTGCCTTGCTCCCGCCAAGTCCCCTCTCGCGACAGGCGAAAAAATGAGCTAAGGACAGGCTCTCACATCCGGTGACAGGTCTTGCCGGCGGATGTCGTTCAGAAGGCGGAGACATGGCCTCAGGAAGAATCACAAGAATATAACATCACGCAGGTACATCCTTGGCACCCGGCAGACCCTCCTGATTTCGCAAAACTGGTTTGCTCTCCCAAGTCTACAAACTCTGCATCACTGCATCTGTCTCCTTGTTGCTTGCGCAAATGCTAATAACCTTGTTGAAAACAAACTCATCTGGTGCTACGCCTCAGCTGGGCATCACAGTTATCATTTGAGCTCAGCAAGACAGGCGACTTGGTATCCGACCTTTCATAGACATCATGTCCAGCCTAAGCTTATGACTTGCCATGGCCACTGGAACAGTTGCTAATTGGATTTAGGCTTAGCCCCCCGCAATGCAACTGCATCTTGCCAAAGGCCTCGCTGGCCTTGGCTAAGCTGATTTGACCTACACCGTGAAGAATGCAGTCCAGCCTAGAGCACCGAACGCAGTCATAAGCATCCTAGGAGAGGACATGCGAGCAAATGCACCGGATTGAAACCCGCCCGACTTTTATTTCATTTTTCCGTGTAATCATTTGCTAAAAGGATGCCAACATGTTAGCTCTGGTCAACCTAACAGCTGTCCCAAAACACAAATGCGCTCCGGAGTGTTGGTTGCAAAAGTACATTCAAAGAGCATTGTTTTCCAAGGAATGATCAGACATGCAGCAGCTGCAGCAGCAGCAGCAGCAACCACCACCACCACCACCGCCGAAGCCGCCACCACCACCACCGCCGCCGCCACCACCACCACCAACAACAACCACCACAACCACAACCACAACGTGCGACGGAGTTACGGGCTTGCGTCGACAGTTGGCTGGAGTGGCCGGCGCCAGCCGTGGTTGGTCAGTTGCGGCTAAACTGGTCGCTGCGCGCTTGACACGTGGGCACGTCCATGACTGTGGCTCGGCTTGCGGTTGCAGAGCGCTTGGTTGCCCGCTTTCCGGCTTGGGCCCGTGCTGGCTGGGTCTTGCCGTGTGTCCGTGGTGGCTGTAGCGGTTGGTCGCTTGTAGGTGTGGCGCGTCTGGGGTGGGGCGGCTTGCACCACGTAGAGTTGGTGGGCGCCTGGGTGCGTGGCTTGCACCAGGACGAGGACGCGCCGCTGCCTGAACAGCTGGCATCGGCTCCGCTCCCATGGAAGGTCGCCGGTACCGGCGGCGGGTCGAGTCGCGCCGCTGCCCGCGGTTTGTCAGGACGACCGGGTGGGACGTCTTTGTCTGGTGCGCTGGCTGCTTGGCTGCAAGTTGCCATTTGTCGCCATTGGGCTTGAAGACATAAACGTCAAAGCAGTGGTGTGGTCGGTTTATTGTGGCTGTGAGCCAGTCGTCTGCTGTAGAGGGACCAGTACGATTCTGTTGCCTCAGTGGCGACAGGATGGGGTGTGCCACTCCTGCTTGTTTGCAGCGAGCCATTGTGTGGCTTTGGCGCGGATTCCTTTGATTTTGCTGATAATGTAGTTGTCGTCTTTGCCGTTGTGGGGGGCTACGCTGGCTGCTGCCGCCCTCCATCCGCAGTCGCCTGCCCCCCCCCCAGTCTCGGAGCCTGACCGTCTCGGACGGGTTCTCCGAAAGGGCCTGACGTGAGCTTGGTTGCGGTGGTGGTGCTGGCTGCGCCGGCTGGCCTGCATTGTTCTTTTGCCTTTTGGCTTTGCTGGTGTCATTTTGCTGCGGGCGCCTGCGCGCACATGCTTAGCCGGTGAGCATTTGGACGTCTGCTTGCTTGTCCTCGTGCTTGTTGGCTGCGACGGAAGTGATCCATCGGGTTGCCGTGCGCCGCACGGTGGTCGTGTTGCTCGGCGGCGGGGTTGCTCTCCAGGCTTCTACAGTCAAGGTCAAGGCTTGTTGCATTCCCTCCTGGGGGATTGCGTATGTCTGCGTGGGCGTCTTGCTATGCCCGTGAAAGGGTTTCTGGGCGCGCGCGGAGCTCCTATTCCAAAAAAAATAGGTCCAGTTTTGGGCTGTGAGCCAGTCCTCCATGGCGCTTGGTCCGCAGTGTTTGGGGGCACCTTGCCCCGTGTAGCGTTGCGTGGTTCGGGCTGCTGTCGCCGTCCTCGGACGCCTAAGTAGGCTTTGCCGAGTCCTAGTCGGTGGGCTAGGCCGCGACTTTCGCCGTGCGCGAGCTGCTTTACGAGTGTCACGTACGCGGCGGCGGTTTCCTTTTCGCTCTTGGCGATCCACTCGACCGTCTCACGCGGCGCTCCAACAAGGGTGTAGATGACCCCCTTGACCCCCGAGAGTAGTGACAGTTGCTCAGCCTGTCTGTCAGCCGCCACCCGTACGCTTTGGCTTCCAGCTAGTGCAGCGTAAAGGTACCGCGGACCATGGTGACTGCCACTCATCATCTGCTACAAGGCGCTGGTATGCCTCGATGCGGACCGTGGCGAGGTTTTCATCCAAACGTGCCACTTTCTCTTCGTGGTGCGCTGGGTAAGGTAGAGGCTGCGGCATCTCCTGGTAGAGCGGGCTTGCTCAAGTGATTTGTTGGGTGTGGAAAAAAATGATGTTTGATTTTGGCTTCAAACATCTTTGGAAGTTGGTGTGTGTGTGTGCCGTCGGAAGGATAATCAGTAGGACTACCGATACTCTTCCAGTTGTAACCCAAAGTAAACAAGTGTCACAGCTCAGTTTGTAAGGCTGCTCCCTTCGGACGTCCGGAAACAACCACACGTCTATGGCTGGGACGTCTAGTCCTTTCTCCTTTAGGGCTAGGCAAGTAATCGGCCATTTTAGTATTGCGTTTAGTATTGCCTAATCTAAAAGTAGTACTGGGTGACTTTTATTCCGAAAAACAATATTTATCAATAGGGCGCATTTATTATTAGGGGGAAGTGATTAATCCGAGGAACGGAACGCGCCCATCCCGCCTGACAACGGCCTTGTGCGTGCACGACGCTGCGCCGCCGTCTCATCCCGCCGCGAGGCCTGCTTTGCCTATTTGCTACTCGCTTGAGCCAAAATGAAAACATGTTTGGCGCAACACACAGATTAACTGACTTAGCCAAACAACCCTCCAGGCAAACACTTACCATAACCAAGGAGCCATGAATACGGACACCAGTTGCAAGCCTCACACGCAGCAAGCGATTTTTTGTCGAAATCTGCATTTGGC